AACTATAAAACACCTAGAAGGAAATATAGGGGGAAGGCTTCAGGGCATTGCATTTGGCCATGATTTCTTGAAGATGACACCAAAAACACAGGCAACAAAAATAAAATTAAAAAATAAAATAAAGTAGGCAAATGGGACTACATCAAACTAAAGAACTTCTGTGTATCAAAGAAAACAACAGAGTGAAAGGGAATCTATGAATTGGGAGAAAATGTTTGCAAATCATATATCTGATAAGGGGTTAATATCTAGAATAAATAAGGAACTTCTACAACAACAACAAATAGCTTAATAAAAAATTGGCAAAGCATGTAATAGACAATTCTCTAAAGAAGATATATAAATGGCCAAAAGCTACATGAAAGGATGCTCACTGTCACTCTTCACAAGATAATTGCAATTAAAATCACAATGAGATATCATTTCACACCCAGGTTGTCCACTATAAAAAGAATATAAAGTAGCAAGTGTTGGCAAGGCTATAGAAACATTGGATCCTATGTGCACTGTTGGTAGGAATATAATAGTATAGACACTATGGAAAACAGTATGGAGGCTTTCTCCAAAATAAAATACAGAATTATCATATCTAGCAATCCCAAATCTGGATATATATCCAAATAATTCAAATCAGGATCTCAAAGAGATATTTGCACACCCATGTGCATTGCAACATTATGCACAATAGCCAAGAGGTAGAAGAAACCCAAATGTCCATGGACAGATGAATGGATCAACAAAATGTGGTGTACATATACACGGAATATTGTGCAGACTTAGAAGGAAATCCTGTTACATGCTACATGCATGAACCCTCAGGGCATTATGCTAAGCAAAATAAGCCAGTCACAAAAGAACAAATATTGTGTTATTCTACTCATGAAATATGTAAAGTAGTCAAAATCATGGAAACAGAAAGTAGAATGGTATTTGCCAAGACAAGGCAGAGAGGGGGAGAGGGCATTAGTGTTCAACAAGACTAGAGTTTTGGTTTTGCAAGATGAAAAAGTTCTAGAGATCTATTGTACAACACTGTTGAATATACTTAACACTACTGAACTATATATTTAAAAATGCTTAAGATAGTAAATTTAGTATTATATGTTTTTGGGTTTTTTTTTTCTTTTTTTAGCTGAGCCATCCTGTCACCTGTTGGCAGCTCAACGACAGCTCAGCTTGGGCAGGGCATCAAACCGCTATTACTCAGAGCTCACACTCTTGGGCGAGCTTTTAACCAACTGAGCCACTTGGCTGGCCTGTGTTACATGTTTTTTAATACATGCACATGCAAATTAGTTGTGCAAGGTATAGTTTAAAAAAATGTCTGTGTACCTAGCCTAATCTTATAATTATGTTCTAATAAATATATATAATTCTGGAGTTGGTAATTTTGTTATAATTCACATCTGATTGATCAGGTCTTTATGACCAATAAGTACTGCAGTACTGAAAAATTATATAGATAAATTTACAGATGTATAGATTATATAGATAAATGTATAGATAGATGTATAAGTCACTACACATATCTTAAAAGTTTTATGCTGAATTTATTATTTTCCTTAAAAAGAGAGAGAGCTATGGGTGTGTAGGGATAACATTTAATGGCAGATAAAACCAAAGTGTAAGATTATTCACATCTTGGTGTGACAATCCCCGTTGACTCCTGGGTGAATTTTGTCCTGTTTTGTCTACCATCAAGATTTCAGTGGGCATCGCTCATTAGTGCTTGTAGGCATTTCTATAACGGCGATTTATTACTCTTTCAGGTGACAGAAGCTGTCCTTTGAAGAATTGCTTTCTGACCTCCTCCTCTTCCAACCCACAACACATGCCGAATGAAGTGGCTGACTCCCTTTTCCTGTCCCCATACAGACACTAGAAGTTTTTGTCTTCAGAAGGAGAGCAGGGCTGAAAAGCTTTGGCAGGAAGGTTTTGGAGCCTGCCTGTTGAACGGCATGGATCAACAATTTCTCAATTAGAAGAAGATAGACGAGAAGATAAAGTATGCAGAGACTGTAAAGCTTAAAGCAGCAGCTGAGGAAGATTTCAAGAACATCTGGTCGAATCTATTTCTTTTTAGGTAAATATGCCTTTGTACAATCAGCATACAGAAAGCATGAAATTGGCTTACCCCGCCTCCTCCAAAAAGGGAGGAACTCGTTAGATTTATTGCTCCTTTGATGCAGGTCTGGAGAGAGTGGGGTGGCATGTGGCACTCCCACTGGGAGTACCCCCAAATCCTTTTGATGCTTCTCAGAGAGAACAGTTGTCTGTTATAGCAAATCCATTTTTAAGAGCCTGTCCAGGTTGGCAGGGTAAAAGATCATTTACAAAAATAAAAACCCAATTCACGATGTTTATGTTTTTCCCCCATGAAATTTATGCCTGAGCAGGGGATGCCATCAACACAGAAGTTCTCTCTCAATTTTTAAAATCGGTTGTGTATCTGGCTTCTTCTTTTCATTTGTTAATTTTAAAATTTCTTTCACTTTAGGCAATAGATGCTGAATGCATTGTTTTATCTGTACCCAACTTCATTTTGTGTGTTCATAGCATCCCCAAATGACCAAACTGCATTGCTCTTTTAATATGCAAGACTGTAAATAACAGGTTTCATAAAGCTCCCCTGTTGTAGAGACATAGCATAACCAACCAATCAAACCAAGTCACCAATTATTTTTAAATTGTATGAATAGACTGCAAAGGCAGGGCTGAATTCAAAATAGGTTTTCCTAGTTCATTGCAAAATTTTAAATTCTTACACTGGAAGAGTATGTTTCATTTAATGATAATTGCTTACGTGATATTGTGTCATATATTATCCATGCTAGAATGCTTTGAATTCAACCTCACTTTATGAAATAAATACTAATCATATTTAGCCCGTCACACCCGAAGTGCTTTAAATGTTTATATAGAATAAACATGCTTTTAAACTAATGTACATAAAATGAAAATTTTTCTAATTTGTGCTTTTCAATTTACTGAATCACTTTCCATGTACCTAAGCACCTGTCCTTTTCTAATAAATAATCATGCAGATTATTTATATGTATTTCTGCATTTTCCCATTATTCTCTAGCTCTTACAGTAGTTCTGAGTTTTGTCTGTAGCTAACATAAAGTTTAGCCTTGTAATAAAGGAGGTCTATTATTTATGCAAGGCTTTCTGTCATATAAAGAAAGGAAATGATTAAAAATTTTTTACACTCCAGGAGGGAATGACAGGTGAAGATAGAGCCTTGTAGCGTTAAAACTAGTCCAGAAGCCAAGAAAAGCTTAGCAAATCACAGGAAATTTCAGGGTACAGTTAATCTCTAATGTCATCTTTAGGTGTACTATAAATTTTCATTGAGACAATTAAGTTCAAACTGTATTGAAACAACCTGGAGTCTTTAGGTTTCATCCAAAAGACAAACTAGAAATTGAATCAGTGGAGGGGATTAATCTTTTCACCTACATTTATTTATACCCAGAAGGGGGAGAAAATAGCCCCACCTTTACATAGTCAATACACTCAGTTCAGGAGCCAACGTTATTTTGAATTATCCAGTTTCCTTTTCTTCCTTTCCTCCTGGACAGTGCCTGCCTGCTTTCTGTCATTTCACCGTTCACTAGCACCTCACCAGCAGAAGGAGAGGCAAAAGAATAGGAGGTGAAATTAACCACCTCGCTTTGTTACTTAATAACAAAGGTGGCTAAGTGTTTTAGGAGAAGTTAAAACTAAGAGCTACAAAAATTTTTTTTAATTTATCAATGTGTTTGACCCATGCCAGTCCTGTCATTATCAGAACTAATGAAGAGTTAGCCAACAGATAATGCATCTCTACCATAGATATCAGCACTGTCCCAAGTCCATTCCCATTGGAATGAGAGAAGGTCTGGTTCATGAAAAACCAGTGTTTAGAAAAGGAAGGGAAAGTGAATCCCTCTTTTATGAAATAAGAGGGTTCAAATAATGATTACTATTGTGCAAACTGCTCTAAAATTCTATTTGTTAAAGACATTTGTCAAAAGATAGAGATATAATCTAGTTGTATATTTATGATTTTTCACCTTATGTTAAAATTCAATTTAAAAAAGTTAAAAAATATATAGATATGTCTAAGAAAACATTGCAAGGTGGTGTGAATTTCAACTGCACAGATCAAGGAGGGCAAAATCACAGATGCTTAAGAATTCATCAGTGGTGTGGTTATTCTCACCCTCATCTTTTTCTTTCTTTTCAGAGAGAAACCCCACGTTTGCTCCTCAAGTCCACCTGTATGTGTCCAATTACTTCTTTAGTTGCAGAAAAAGCAGGGGGAAAAAAAGAAAAAAGAAGGGAGGACAAAGGCTCAGAAGACAAACTAAGAGCCAGATGGTTCATTCAACTACTAAGGGCAAAAGGGAGCCCAAAAGACTGTTTGGGGAAGATCATTTTAGGGCTAGTACCACTTTAAGTACTATCTGACTACGAATGAGTCATTGGAGAGCCACTTTGGTTAAGTTTGGGAATCAAAGCAAAAAGTTGTCCCACTGTAGATCGATCCATTTTCTACCGGGCTAAACTGCAGATGATGGCTTTGTTTCCTGGGATGTCCTTGTTGGAGGGCACGATGCGCCATAGATTTTTATTTTCACGAAACAGGCTCCAGAGGTTTGTGGCCTTCCAGACAGCAGCTGGCGCCGGGCAGAGGCATAGCCTCGGGCCGGAGCCGCTGGCGACTGCGCTGCGCTTGGCTGTGCGTCCCAGGCAGTCGGGCCAGCACGGCAACCGGTGCTTCCCATTCCAAGCAGACGCTGTACCCTTCTGGAAAGGCCTTGGGGGCTTGCAACTGGCTGCTCCTCCGTAAATCTGGGGAATGAGGAGCTGGTTTGAAGGAAAGGAGGGAGTAGGTTTGTAAGAGTTGGCTCCTTCTTATAACTCTAGTGCCTGAAAGGGGCGAGATGGTGGCCAAATAAAATGAAGGGAGATTATCCCATTGTGAGTAAGGAGGGTTTCTGGATGAGCCCAGGATGTGTCCTGCAACTGTCGATTTGGCAGGAGATTTGACTCAATCAACTGCGGTTTGGTTCCCACTTCAAACACACCTCCCCCAGTCTGTGTTCAGAACGACTCCCGAGACTCGCGGTGGGAGCAAGCGGATCGGGAGAATCAAAAGTCAGCCTTCTTTTGGTCTCTGCTTGTGGCAGATGCACAGCTGGTATGGTTGTGAGCAGGTTGGTATATGAGGGGGAAAGCCATCGCTGCTTCGCCTCTTTGGCCGGGGGAGGGGGGGGGTTGGGTGTGTGTGTGTTGGGTGGTGGGTGGGTAGGGAGAGGTGGGGAGCAGAGTTAGTCGGAAGTGTTGAGCGAAGCCGCTTATTTTGCGTCTCAGCTGCCTCTCCAACCCCAAGGGTCCAGCCCCCTCCGTGCCTTGCTGCTCAGTGGCAGCGCTGGGTGGAGATGAGGGGGTGAGGAGGGCGTGGGTGGGGGGACGCCAAGCAGCGCAACGAGCCCATGGTGGCGGCGGGGCTGTCTCTTTAAGCGCTCTGGAGGGGCCTGGGCGGGAGGGCGGCGAGCGCGTTTCCATGGCACCGAGGCTGCGGGGGTTGCGGGGCCGCAGGGCTCGCTCGGTTCCAGTCGCTCCCGGCAGAGCAGGGGCGCGCATCTTGGCGGTTACGGCGCCTCGGGGGCTCGCCGGGCAGCTGCTCCAGCGCTCCCGGCAACGTGTGATACCCAGTGGGGTCGAGCTGCTGCGGCGCCCTCCGCCGGGAGACGCACCTCGCCAGTCTCGCAAGCCCCGCACACCAACTTCTGCCCGGCGAGCCCAACTTCTGCGGCGGGCTCGGACTTTCGGAGCGGGAGAGGCGCGCGGCGCGCAGCCTGGGTGGTGGCTGGAGCAGCTCTGCCTGGCGGAGATGACCTCGCGACTGTGGCTCTGGTGCTTCTGTGCCTGGGTGGCCGCCAGCTGGCCGCCAGGCAGCGCCCTACAGCTCCGGCCGGACATGTAAGTGGCGCCCGCGCATTGCTGCACGCGTGGGGAGAGCGGGCGGGTTGGCGCCTGCGCCCCACCCCTGACCCACGGCCGACACTGCGGACAGAGCTGTTCCCTCTGGGAAGGGATGGAGGGCATGAGCTGTCCAAAGTCCCTGGGTGGGGTCTGCGAGCTGTCCCAGGCGGACTGCGGCGGGAACCTGGTCCCCAGCGTTTCATCGGGTTTGGGGGCTGTGCGTTTTCCACCTGACTGATACTTTCTCAGCGCCCCACAAAATGTTCCCCCAGATTTGGGAGTATGCGTGCGTGCACCGTGTGTGTGTGTGTGGGGGGGGGTGAATTTTCTGTTTGGAGGAGTAATAGGCTAATGCGAAAGTCCACTTTCTGAAAGGGTTTTAAATGACACCAGGTCGAACAGCGAATTTTTTGACATGTTCTTTCTAGAGATTGGTGAGTTCCTGTAGATTTTTTTTTTGAAAAGTATCGTGGAGTACGAAGGAGTGGATTATTCCACAGGTTTCATGAGAGGTGAACCCAGTTCAGACTCATCTGTGGAAGCGAGGAGCTCGGGGAGACCGTATGTCAAGGACTAAGTGTGCAACCACTTAGATGCTAGCCTTGTTAGGAGAGAACCGAGGAGTAGGAAATGACTGAAACGCATCCTCTGAGGATGCGGCATGGTTTAATTTCCAGGTTACAAGTGATGAAGGCAAGGAGATATTAATTCTTGGTCACGGTGTCAAGCACAGCGAGAAGCTCCGGGGAGGTCTCAGTTCTTAATAGATTGCTGGTCACCTTGACTGGCTGCAGAAGTTTTCAGTGGCTTCTGTAGCATCGGGGCGGGGGTCATCATCCAACTGCCTGCGAGAAGCAGGATCCAATCTACTTTTCCTTTCCGCTCTTGAGCAGTTATGAATAGACACCAGAGTATTTTGAAGATTTAAACATCTTGGCTACTTTACTATTTCTTTGCTTCATCTTTGAGTTTCTGAAATGTGAATATTTTATAATAAAAAAATGGTTTAGATAAGTACACAAAGCCATCAATACCTTTCCTGGGCTTTACTTTTCTTTGTAAGAAAAGACTCTTTGGGTGTTCACTACATTTCCATGTTTCATCATTCTCACGTGAGATTCAGTTTGCTACCTGGTTACTGCAAATGTCACTAGTGATAAATCTTGAGACGTGGCCAGGGTGTTGGTGGCATCACAGAACTTCTTGCCTACACAGTTTGTAAATACATATTTGGCAGAAATGCAAGGAGTTCTGAGTAGGTGATTTCTCTTGCATTGATAAGATGTGTCTTGTTTATTTTGAAGAGAAGGTTGATTTAGACTTTTCCTCTCCCGTTTACCTCAGAAAACACATCTTGCTTTGGATAGCTGTGCTTGCATAAGCCTTCATTTCTTAGAAGCTGCTTTTTAGCAAGCTTGCTGGCTAGCCAGCTCTTAACTTTACAAGAGCCCTCATTAAAGTGGACCCTGGGTTGCCTTATTACTTAGCCACAGGGTCGCCCATGCACACAAGATCAAATAATCCCTTTGGGAGGCACTGAGAAATAAGAGAACTATCACATCACTTTTTACATTGCTTAACTGTTTGTTCTCAGGTTTCAATATCGATACTTTTGTTGAAAAGAATGGAAGGATGACATTGCATTTTTATTAAAGGACACTGCTACTGGCAGCTCATTTATTTATCAGGTGAGAGGAGATTGGATATTAAAATCAATATAAATGCTTGGGTGTTTAATAGAGAGGCTCTTTTGGGGGGGTGTTATTGAGATCACTGTGATGACTCTTAGCACTTTCTGAAATCTGGATGGGAAAAAAATCCAATCAAATTTTATTTAGTCCTCCCTGATATTAGAATTAATAGTTCCTTCAGCAGGAACCGTGTTGGGATTTAGTGCTAGGTTTCTGCAGATGCCTTTGCAATTGTTATAGGTATGTGGAATACAACCATGTGGATGGCACTTGGCTTCCACACACCTGCCCATCTATTAAATTAAAGAGAGTTCTTTCTAAGATTTTTATTGACCTCTGAGGTCCATTATCAGCGAGAGCAGGCTTCTAATGAGGTGAGGACCACTAATAGGAATGCATCAACTTACTGACTGGCACTTATAGGTCATTAACACAGTTAAAAGTTTCATGTAGCTGATCTTGTACTTCAGCAGATTTTGGAGCTTGGGTGACAACTGAAAAGAGGAAATGATTGTGCAGCTAAATAAAGGTCAGCCTAAATTTAATACATTGTATTTATGGTACATTGCTCCACAGGTAAGCTCATTTCCAAAGGACATATTATTAACGACACAAAAGATGTATGACATATAGATATTCCAACTTTAATGATAACTGATCTGTCTGATGACCTTGTCTTATTACATTTAGGAAACTTCGTATGATTAAGGTTAGACAGATTCATAAAATCAGTATTCCACAAAGATTGACTAAATGCCAACTATGTAAGTTGATGTTGAAAATCACAGTTAATACTTTATCTGCTTGAATTCATAGACAAATTCCTCACTACTTTATATGCATTATTTCATTTTATCCTGAAGAAAAGCTCTATGAGAGAGACACAATTATCTTCTTCATTTATAATGAAGAAAGAAACATAGTAAGGTTAAGTTCACACTCCACAAATTCACAAGATTTGGATCCAGGTAGTTTGAATTCCAGTGCTGGAATTCTTGACAAATATGGTCCATTTCCGAACAAACAGGGCCAGCTTCTGTTTTTAAGAAGTTTTTTTTTAATCACTGACAGGGGTTCCTAATGAGAGTGGGACTGGTACCTTCTGCCTAGTAAGTATTAAGAAACCTGTGGGTGCTTTTTTGAATGTTGTAAAAACTACAGGGTTCCATTGGCATTTGGTGCTGGGTATGGAAGGGGGTGGGGGTGCAGGTGCTAATTTTCCTGCAATGGGAAGATAGTTTCTCACAAAGATCTGATTTCTCTCTTCACTGAGACTCTTCATTAGAAACTCTTTTACTCTCTCTTGGCTGTAGGTGTTTAAGTATGAAACTGATGGGCTAGGCTTAAACTGGGAATTTGTGGAATGGAGAAACCTATCCTTAGCAAGTGCATTATGAATTAGAGTGTTGTAACTCATGATGGCATTTTGATAAAGGGATATTGAAGAGTTTACTTATGTTAATGGCACTCTGTGAATGTTTCCTAAAGGATTAAATAGAAGGAAATAAACTCTACTCCAGATCGTTGAGACATCAAAGGAACATCACTAGCTGTATAACACACTCTATTAATGTGTGTCCTTTGAATGCTCTCTTGTAAACATTTTCCTAATTATTGCATACAACATGATGAAAAGTAGTAAACATAGACGTGCTGCAGATATCATGCAGGCAGAAGTGCATAAGTATAGATTCAGTGCTTAAACTCCTGGGATTTGAGATACTTGGGGGAAATTCTAAAAAGGTGTGGCCACTTTGTCACTCAGTAGTATCCTAAGCCAGTTAGGACATCTCACACCCATTCCCTAATGCAGGTATCCGATACAGGTAGATTGACATATAAATCCAAAACATGCCTGATATGATACTGTTTGTCCACCCCACCTATATTCCCAACACATCTATGTTTCACTTCAGCCTTCTGTAGCTGATATAGGAACTTCTGGTCAGAGTGGTAGGGATTTAGAGTTTTGAAGAATTTATAAATTTAGAAGTAGAAAAAGGCAAGAAGTTATAATAATCCAGAATTGTGGAATTGTGAAAGAGATTGATGAAGTTGCTTCTTGCACCACACACCATGCTGGAATTTGTTTTATTTTGTTTTGGTTTTCTTTTTCACTTTTCTTATGGTAAAGCCTGAAATTGAGCCAGTTAGAGATGTCTGGGCTAATAGCAGTTCACTTTTAAATGTACAAATGATTTACACATGGCCTGTGGTCTGACATTTACTCATTAGCATAAATTAGTTCAAAAATATTTTTCTTGGGCCAGCCGAGTGGCACGTTGGTTAAGAGTTGGCTTGGGATGCCAGCTCTGAGAAGCAGGGCCCTGGTTCAGATCCCACATGAGGCCAGTGATGCTCGCCCTCTACAGCTAAGATGGCGAACAACAGCTCGACCTGGAGCTGGGCTGCTATGAATCGTCGGTGACGGCATAGGCTGCAGTGGGGCTGCAGTGGGCTGCCAAGAGCTGCCATGAGTGGCCGTCCAGAGGCCGGCGAGCGACTGCCTCATCCGGGAAGAGCGCAATGATAATGACAACATCAGCCAGTGAAGCCACGTCCTCCACAACTAAACTGAAGAACAAAAGGACAGCAGCTTGTCTGCGCCCCTTCCCTGATTCCTCATGCTGTTACCCTCCCCCAATTCCCTAATAAAATCTTAAAATATATATATATATATATATATATATATATATATATGTATGTATTTTTTTTCTTGTGAGATGAGCAACAAATGAATAAAACGTGAACCAGAGGAGGCTGTGTACACTCTCTATGGGCAAGGCATGAATTTCAGCAGTTTGTATTTATTAATATTTTTAATTCTAACAATAGTTATATGAGGTAGACAATACTATTACCTCTATTTTTCAGATGAGGATACTGAGACAGAGAGAGTTTAAGTAACTTGCCTGAAGCCTCAGAGCTGAGAAGTGGTGGGATGGGCGTTGGACCCATTCTGTCTAACTCCGGAGCCCTGTTCCTAATCACTACTCTCTGTGGGGGCCCTCTGCCTTTGACCTTTCCTTCCTAGACCCTCAAATTACCAGCCTCCCTGGTCTTCCTCTCAGTCTGTGTCTTTTTACTTATATTCAGCAATAGCTGACTTTCTCCTATTGTCCCAAGTAGGACTGATCCTCACCTCTGCCGTGCAGTTTTAGCAGTGAACTTCCACCCATACTTTATTGGTGAAGTTGAGATTGTATTGTATGAACTTTCCCAGGCCTCCTGTCCTTGGCTTCCGTTTTTTTCCCTACAGCTTTATTTCTCTTCTTCTGTGGCTCATGGGGAATGAGTTCCCCACCA